GGGCGGCGCACGCCGGCCGTACCCGCGGAACGCCCGCCGGGTTGGGCCGCGGGGCGCGCATCGCGCGACCTTGAACGGCGGTATGCCGACAGACGGCTCACTGACGCCGTCGGTGAGCGGAGGTCGGAGCAGGTAGCCCGGGCGTTCTCTGACGCACGGCAGATGTCCACCGTCTTCTTGAGGTCCAGCCCCGGATCCTCCAACAGACGCTTCACCGTCTCCTCGTCCCGCAGGCCACACACAATCTTGTCACGCAGGCGTGAGTCGTAACAGTGTGTGCAAAAGTCGCAAAATGCCGCGAGCTCCTTCACTTCGCACAGAAACTCCTCAAAATTCTCGCCCTGCTCCTGGACACGGGCGTAAAACGCACGGCGGTCGACCAGGACACTGCGCTGCTTACGGAGATGACTCTCCATTGCGTCTACCACCGCGGAGAGGGGAGAGTCGTCCGCTATCGTCAGTCCATAGCGCAGTACCCGGTGCCAATCTTCGTCGAGAAGACTGAGAAGGGCAGCTCTCTGGGCAGTGACGGGCAGCGCGGACGCGCCGGTCAGAAGCATGTACCCGTCCAGCTTCTCCCTCCATACAGCGAAGTCACGCAGGGATGTGGAGGACGACAGCTGAGGCGCCGGCGTTGCAGCAGCAGGCAGGCGCACGGGCGGGGCGGCAGCCGACGTCCGGGCGGCTGTCGCCGCCGAGGCATCGTCGGCAGCGACGGTAGCGGGTGGCTGTCGGTCGGCGACCAGTCGCTCCACCATCTGAGTGAGCCGCTCCTCGCGCTGCGCTGAGTCTCGCTCCCGCTGCGCCGACAGCTCCGCCTGCTGCAGGAGCAGCTGCGTCAGTTTCTCAATGTCACTCATCGTCACAGATCACGGCGCGCTATACACTTATCACTGATACACTGATACACCGATCACTGCGCGCACGCACGGAACCATCTACTGACCGCGCCATGTTATGTTCGTGATTCACGGTTCGAGTGAGAGAGAGCTTAAGAGAAACGCGATTTATTTACTGCCGGTGCGAATGGGCCGAGAGAGTCCTCCAAAAACTAAACAAGTATGGCGAGCGCCACGCCTAGTCGCCCGCGCCAGTCATGCCGCTTGGCGCGCACGATCAGCTGAGCGTCGGCAGGGGCGCTCCCAGGCACACAGAGGTGGGGCCGCAGAGGCGGTCCAAGTACACACCCCCTATACCCGAACACAACACCCTACCCTACCCCTACACTACCCTACCCTACCCTACCCTACCCTACCCTACCCTACCATACCATACCCTACCCTACCCCTACACTACACTACCCTACCCTACCCTACCCTACCTTACCACTACCCTACCCTACCTACCCTAACCTACCCTACCTACCCTACCCTACCCTACTCCTACCCTACCCTACCCTACCCCACCCTACCCTACCCTTACCCTACCCTACCCTTACACTACCCTACCCTACCCTACCCTTACACTACCCTACCCTACCCTACCTTACCCTACCCTACCCTACCCTACCCTTACACTACCCTACCCTACCCTACCCTACCCTACCATACCCTACCCTACCCTACCCTACCTAACTCTACCCTACCTAACTCTACCCTACCCTACCCTACACTACCCTACCCTACCCTACCCTACCCTACCCTACCCTACAATCCCCTACCCAACCCTACCCTACAATCCCCTACCCTACCCTACCCTACCCTACAATCCCCTACCCAACCCTACCCTACAATCCCCTACCCTACCCTACCCTACCCTACCCTACCCTACCCTACCCTACCCTACACTACACTACCACCGACAGTCCAAGTTTCAGCTGAATCGGCCCAGAAACGGCTGAGATATTGCAAAAACAAATTAATTGTATTTACTGGCGAATCCCCTTGGCGAGCGGTGCCTTGTGTCGGCCTTCGTTGGCTCTGATGCTTTTCACTCAGTTTTCTAAGCGAACAACTGAGCCTAAAGCACGTGCCCTCTGCTCGGCGCCGGTCGCGGCCCCATCACATGCACACCGCTGAACCCACACCCTCGAAAATTTAATACGACAAATGAGTGCACGCGCTCGACTTGGCGTGAAAATTTCACCCCCGAGGCCCTCACCGTTCCCGAGCAATAGCCTGTTTTTGCCGTTTTTAATGTTAACCCTATGGCGCACATGAGCACGCGCCACGGGCGCACCCCCGGCCGCATCGTGCCCAAAATTTAATACGACCTGTTTTATTACGTGACCCACGAGTGGCAAAAATTTCACCGTCCTGCGTCAATCGACGGCGCCGTAATAAGCGTTTTTGGGAGTAACCCCGACGGCGGCGTGGGCGTGGGCGGCGTGGGCGGACTTTTTAAGATTTATAATAGTAGATAAAAATAGTTTAGTTTCTATTTTAGGGGGTAAAAAACACATTTTATGGGAAATGCGAGATAGCCATTCTAAAGAACCTATTGAGCTGCGTCTATTCATGTCCTTAATTTGCAGTTTGCTTTAAACCTTAACCCGGCAGGCGGTGGGCCTACCAGCCACCTTCCGCGCGGTGGGGGGGGGGGGCATTTTTTCCCCACCCCCCGTATCTCCGAAACTACTGGACGGATCCGGAAAATTCAAACGGCGTTCGATAGCCCTGTCAAATTTGTCGAAGGAAACCAAATTTCATTGACCTCGGGGTCACCGATGACGTCACAGGTCAGGTCAAAGATAAAATGTTTCACCGTTCACGGGGCTTCTAGGGAAAGCGCTATAACACCGAGTAAAACGCATTTCGTCGAAAAGCAGCGATATGGCGTCAGTTGTCTAGTACATATGTTGCTATTAGAGGTCACTGGTCATACCAGGTCAGGTCACAGGTCAGGTCACCAAAGGTCACCAAGGGTCACCACATGAGCACAACTTTACTAAGGTTATGTGATGCATGTTTTATGGCCAGTTTTTCATTTCCGACTCAATGGTGTTGGTTATAAGACCATCAGGTACGGTTGAGGTCACTTTCTGGTGGAGGTCAGGCCAAGGTCAGGTCAAAAAAGGTCAAATTTCAAAGTTGATATTTTGCATAAAATGGGTATCGATTCGATGCAGCTCGTCACGGGGAGTCTAATGGTGGTCTTTGTTTTGCGCTACGAGGTCTGGAATTGCTAAAAATTGAGTTTGAAAATTTGACGTCATCAATTTTGAACAGTTTTTTCGCTATTACTTGGCCAAAAAAAGAGGTATCGATCTCAAATTTGGTATGTAGATAGAAGGCGGTAGGGACTATCACATATATTCCGGTTTTTCGAAATTCAAAAAACTTTTTGGATTTTTTGGCTATTATATTCAAAAAACCTATTTTTTTATTTTTGGATCAAAATTCGGAATCAAAATCCAAAAAAAATCGAAAAACCGAAACAGCAGTTTTGTAGCCCTTTTGATTCCACACTTTTTATGTCAAAAACATTTTTATGTATCTCTAAAGCTGTAGGCCTGACAGCTCTTCCCGCGAAACCTTTTTTTTTTTTTGGTCGAAAATGGCAAAAATGACGTCACTCTGACGTCATTAGCGGCCAACCTATCATAGCCTTTGGAAAAAAAAATTTGGTCACCATGTGCGCTAGCTGCTCCCGGGAGGGTACTGAAAGTTTGGTGACGATCGGCGCAGCGGTTCTCGAGATATATCGAAAAAACTAAAGGGGGGGAAATGCCCCCCACCGCCTGGAAGGTTAATATTTGGCGATTTTTAACCTTGATTTTTGGTGATTTTTAAACATTTAACATTTTTTACGAAAAAGGCCTTGTAGTTACATCAATAAATAGATATAGCTAAATAAGTTTTTGATAAATTTGCATCAACATTTGACAAAAGACGTCAAATTAATGATGAAGAACGTATAAAACGTTGCAAGTTCATGGCGTAAGCGGTTCGTGAATTATTCCAGGAAAACGGGGGGTCAGATGCGACCCCCCCCCCCTCCACAGGCGGTCGCGGGTTAAAGGCCTGATCTTCAACATTACGCCTATGGCAATGCATAGATAGAAATGACTCATTTTTACGTTTAAGGTTTGGCGCTTCAGCTCCGGGCTAGGTCCGCTATTGTAGCTAGCATTTCAAACCAACCGATCACCTACTGCGCCAATTTCCATTAGAATTACAAACATTTTCCCCTGCATTGACACTGCTTCTAGCGCAAAAAAATGTGGGGTTGCTATATGGACTATCCTTCACTTTTCTTTTTTATACCAACAAAAAAAAAAAACAAGAACAAGAAAAGCACACCTCATTTACACACAATGATTGAAAACCTGTTGAACCATGCCGTATTTGTAAAAAAAAAAAAAAAAAAAAAAAAAAAATACGTTCACAATGTTTGTCGCAGTGCGTAAGTCATGTCCTCCGGCCGAGATCGTGCAAAAAAACGATGAAAGTTCAAATAATTGAATTTACGATCTCGCTACGAGATTTCCGTGTTTGCGTGACAGCGTCATGCGTTTTACCGAGATTTCCTTAAAATCGGTACGGAATTGGCAAGTTGTCGTGTTTTGCGTGACATCGTTCCCAGTGTAGCTTGCCCAATGTTGAGCAATGATGCGACATTTTTTTTTTCGGGAACGGGAACATTATTTCGGGAACGATGTCACCCAAAAACCGATGTCTAGGATAAGACGCACGAAAAACGCGTAGTGGAGCGTGGCCTTTAGTGTGCTGTTTGATGTAGTTCGTAGTCCTCCCGTCCTGCTCGATGTAGCTTGTAATCCTACCGCCAATAGTCGAGTAGTCCTACCCTGAAGCTCAGTGTAGCCAAAAGTCCTACCGTGCTGCCTAGTGCCTATTGTAGCCAGTAGTCCTACTGCTAGTAAGCGAGTAGTCCTAATCTGATGTTCAGTGTAGCCAGTAGTCCCTACCGTGCTGAGTCAATGAAGCCAGCAGCCCCTATTGTGTGTTTCCATGTAGCCAGCCCAGTAGTGTTTCTGTGCCGTTCGTAATAGCCAGTCGTCCTACTGCGCTGTTGGATGTAGTTAGGTGCCGTATTCGTACCGTGCTGTTCAATGTAGTCGATACACTGGCGGACCACGGCCGGCAGCTGGACGCCGTCGTGACACTTGCTGCGCTCCACGGCCAGCGGCAGCGGCACGCCGAACACGGGCTCCTCCTCCTCGGCGGCAGCTGCCGGCGCAGGCACACACGGCTCACCAGACACCGGCGCAGGCACACACGGCTCACCAGACACCGGCGCAGGCACACACGGCTCACCAGACACCGGCGCAGGCACACACGGCTCACCAGACACCGGCGCAGGCACACACGGCTCACCAGACACCGGCGCAGGCACACACGGCTCACCAGACACCACCACTGCCACAGCCGGCTCACCAGACACCGGCGCAGGCACACACGGCTCACCAGACACCGGCGCAGGCACACACGGCTCACCAGACACCGGCGCAGGCACACACGGCTCACCAGACACCGGCGCAGGCACACACGGCTCACCAGACACCACCACTGCCACAGCCGGCTCACCAGACACCACCACTGCAACAGCCGGCTCACCAGACACCACCACTGCCACACACGGCTCACCAGACACCACCACTGCCACAGCCGGCTCACCAGTCGGGAGCTAACCCTGCCAGCCCACCAACCTGTCACCAGTCGGGAGCTAACACTGCCAGCCTACCAACCTGTCACCAGTCGGGAGCTAACACTGTGAGCCCACCAACGTGTCACCAGCCGGGAGCTAACACTGCCAGCCCACCAACGTGTCACCAGTCGGGAGCTAACACTGCCAGCCCACCAACGTGTCACCAGTCGGGAGCTAATACTGCCAGCCCACCAACGTGTCACCAGTCGGGAGCTTACACTGCCAGCCCACCAACGTGTCACCAGTCGGGAGTTAACACTGTGAGCCCACCAACGTGTCACCAGTCGGGAGCCACACTGTGAGCCCACCAACGTGTCACCAGTCGGGAGCTAACACTGTGAGCCCACCAACGTGTCACCAGTCGGGAGCTAACACTGTGAGCCCACCAACGTGTCACCAGTCGGGAGCTAACACTGCCAGCCTACCAACGTGTCACCAGTCGGGAGCTAACACTGCCAGCCCACCAACGTGTCACCAGTCGGGAGCTAACACTGCCAGCCCACCAGCGTGTCACCAGTCGGGAGCTAACACTGCCAGCCCACCAACGTGTCACCAGTCGGGAGCTAACACTGCCAGCCCACCAACGTGTCACCAGTCGGGAGCTAACACTGCCAGCCCACCAACGTGTCACCAGTCGGGAGCTAACACTGCCAGCCCACCAGCGTGTCACCAGTCGGGAGCTAACACTGCCAGCCCACCAACGTGTCACCAGTCGGGAGCTAACACTGCCAGCCCACCAACGTGTCACCAGTCGGGAGCTAACACTGCCAGCCCACCAACGTGTCACCAGTCGGGAGCTAACACTGTGAGCCCACCAACGTGTCACCAGTCGGGAGCTAACCCTGCCAGCCCACCAACGTGTCACCAGTCGGGAGTTAACACTGCCAGCCCACCAGCGTATTTGGAAATTCCGACCTCGACGAGCATTTGTGGTAGAGAACCGCCACTTTGGTAGGGGAAACTACTGCTGTCTGCTACCATTTGCACTGCATGTGTCGCTATAGCTGCGACATCTATGCATATGCATATAAACCGCGACATCTGTGTGCGCTGATTCTACAGGGTGATCGAAAAAAAGTGTCACCCCTAATTTAAAAGCCATATAACTTGCGATTGGTTGGTCGTACGACTTTGCGCCAGTCAGCATTGGAAAGAGCATACAATTTCCTTTCGAATGGATGTAAATATGCATGGTTTATGCCTCAAGCGAAGATGTAGCTATTCAAAAAGTATGTTAAGGACGCAATTTGGCGTGTTCAAAAGTTTGGTTGTGCAAATTTGTACTTTTGACAGAGTTTTTGATCTGACAGCTCACGTGACAGCTCACGTGAGCATTTTTCTTCACTGTTCCATGGTTACCGCTGCATAAAATTGATAATCCGGCTGTGCAGGTTGTCGCAATTTTTCGCTAGTTAAGCCCACCAACGGGTCACCAGTCGGGAGCTAACACTGTGAGCCCACCAACAGCTCACCGCGTAAGACCACGACCGGCCCACCAGTCGGAGCCAGACACAGTGAACGCACAGACGACGGTAGCTGGCTGTAGACTAGCAGTGCTATTGTGTTAACGTCGTTTAAAAACAATCATTAACATCATTGTGTTAACGTCGTTAAAAAACAACCATTAACATTGTACAAGGTACGTACAATTCATATATACAGCGCTGACCTGGCCTGGGACATTCGTCGCCCGGCAATGCATGATATGATGGGTTGCTCGGCGGCCGGATGGGGGCGTGTGTGTCTGACTATTTATGAACTAAGATTTCGTTCAATCATATGCTTCAATTATTTTGCATCATTTATCTGTAATGTTTACATTATGGTTCCTTATTCTATCTTGGAAGGGAGCTCTAATTAAAGTTCTGCTTTTGCGCCAATCAACTGTTTTGCTGTTGCTATTATTTTTGGAAGGGAACAACATAAACTGAACGGAACGGAACTACAACTGTAATGGTCAGGGTCCATCGGAGAGAACGCCGTTAATAGAACAGGGTACGGCAGAAGTTTTGTTCTATGGAAAAAAATGTGCTCTGTTAGTTGCTGCATAAACCCGCGCCGGGCCGGGGGAAGGGGTGTCTGAACAACCTCCTCCCCCACGTGACACGTCTAACTCGGCTCCTGGGCAACTGAACGACACGCGGTAAGCGGCATTCGAAAGAACGTCAAAAATAATGACGGAAACAGTTCAGTCATGTTTTAGGTCAGGCCAAAGGTCAGGTCGCCAGAGGTCATCAAAGGTCAATTAAGTCAATTTCATTTTTTTCGGAAGCTGCCAACAGCTAACTCAGGAACCTTTCTGCAGTGCTAGAGCACCGCAGAAAAGCGCATTCGATAGCCCTTTTACAGAACTTTCTGAGTATTGTTCCCAGATTTGACCTCAGGTCAACGTTTTAGCCTCCAGACAGCAAAAACTCTAAAAATAGCAGTTTTCAAGAGGAAATGTTTTTAAGTACTAACTTCTGACTCAATAGACCCACGACAATACTTATGCCAGCATCGTGTTCCTCTCGTTGAGACTCGCCGAATGAACTATTGATTTCATATTTGTGTGAAACTGGCGGTACCTCGGTGACCAGGGCTCGTCTAAGCAATTTTCAATGGCGGGGAGGGGGGGGGGGAGGACTGAAGGAGCCAAAGCTAGGGTAACCCCAAATCCTGTTTTCTCATCGGATTTAGGCCACTTGTTTTTCATCACAGCGCTGAGAACATGATATTAAAAAAAAAAAAAAACAGGCGATCCGAGCCATACCTTGACCCTCGCCGGCACAGGGGGTGATGCAACCCCCCCTAAGGTTTTTCGCGAATAACTCGCGTAAAAAGCGGCCGATCGCGACGAAACTTTCAGTACCCTCGCATTGATCAATTTTACACCTACCCTGAAAATTTCATGACCCTGACCCAAATGACCTTTGACCTGTGACCTCTTTTCCGAGACCATGTTTGGCCCGAATCGCGATTCTGCGTATGTCGGCTCGCATTAGCCGCGCGTTTGCAAGCTTTTCGTTGTTTCAAACGTTCAAACATGTGATTTGATGTTGCTCCCATGCATTAGGGTTGGTGTCAAGGTCACCTGAAGGTCAGGTCAGGTCAGGTCATTGACCTTTGGTGACCTCGGTTCACTTTCTCGAGTTTTACATGTTTCTAGGCTAGTTTTTGGAGCTGAATTCGAATTTAGCAACCATTTGAACATTTACGAAGTAGTTTTGGTGCCTTCGTAACATGTTACGAAGCTGTCAGAGGCAGTTGACACGTACCACGAATACCCGTCACAACCCCTAATGGTTGACCTGACCTGACCTGACCCGACCTGGTCTAAATGGTTAAAGACATCATCTGTGATCAAAACTAACACGATATTCGTGATCAGCACCCCGAAAAACCCCTTAGCAGCCACACTTTACGACTTTCTAATAGGTCCCGATTTTCCCGACTTTGGGTCATTGACCTGGAAGGTCAATCAATGACCTAAGACCTTAAAATTGGGTATCATCGGCTTCCTCTCGTCACAGGCAACACGCTCGTTTTTTCCGCGAAGCTCTAGCTCGATCAGGGGCCAAACGGCAAGGGGGGGTCCAACCGACCCCCCCCCCCCCTACACATTAGAAGCTGGCAAACGCCGCACACATGCGAGGGTTAACCCTCGCCCGTACCTATACCATACATAGGGTGGGGGGAGGGGTCGAACAGACCCCTTCGGTTTTCCGCAAATAACTCGCGTAAAAAGCGACCGATTGCGACGAAACTTTCAGTACCCTTACGTTTATCAATTTCACACCTACTCTTGAGAATTTCATGACCCTGATCCAAATGATCTTTGACCTGTGACTTACTTTTCGAGACCATGTTTGGCCGGAATCGCGATTCGGCGTATGTCGGCTCCCATTAGCCGCGCGTTTGCAGTCTTTTGGTGGTTTCAAACGTTCAACCATGTGATTTGATGTTGCTCTAATTCATGGGTGGGTATCAAGGTCACCGGAATGTCAGGTCAGGTCACTGACCTTTGATGCCTGGATTCATTTTTTCGAGTTTTACATGTTTCTAAGCTAGTTTTTGGAGCTGAATTTAAATTTAGCAACCATTTGAAAAATTACGAAGAAGTTTTGATGCCTTCCAGGACCTCGTCAAACATGTTAACTGGGGAGGGGGCGGAAATTGCCTCCCCAGTGGAGCGGATTGCCCCCCCCCCCCCGTCAACACGTGAGCTTCTCCCAAAATTACCTTCTTTGCTATCAGAAATATAAAAAGGTCTAGGGCGAAAGCTGGCTGTCTTTTGGCAGCGTGACCATAACAGAAGTGCAGGTATGGGCAGTGCACCGCATTGGTTTAGGTGATTTGCGAGAAATTCCTAATTTTACGTTTCGTGAATGCGTTTTATATTTTTTTCTAGCATAATAAGCAGAAGAAAACTGATCTTATTTGACTGACATTAGTCCTGAAGTAGTATTTTTGTCATACTTAGGACTCATCCAAGTATTACGTGCTCCTGCTCGAGCGAAATTTTTGTCGTGCTGCCATATTG